AAAATCGGGTTAGGCGAAGAATTCGTTAGTGCCTAAACGGTCCAGGAGGTCAGAAGTCGAAAAAACTAGTGAAGCTAAAGGTTCACGAGAAAGACAAGTATGTTTTTCAGACGCTGTCTAAGCGGTCTAGGCGACATTGGGCTAGAAAAAACTAGTGAAGCTAAAGGTTCACGAGAAAGACAAGTATGTTTTTCAGACGCTGTCTAAGCGGTCTAGGCGACATTGGGCTAGCTCACGACTACGACTGTGGCATAGTGGTTTTTGTAACCTTTGGTACACAGTTTGTCTAATATAAAGTAAATAATGTTTCAAATTAACTTCGTACTAGTTATGGGTTTACTATAATCGCGTTACCAGCAGCAAGTACAACAGAATTATGTTTCAATTTGACTTGGATGTGTGAATTCGAGAGCTGAGTTGAAATTGGAAATTTTACCATTGCACTTACGTGTGCATATATAATGTGAAAGTAATAGATTGATGCAAACTGTAGCTGTTAAAACAACAAGCCAAACTGTCTACGAACAAAGTTTTTAACAAACCAAGCACGAGCAACCAATCAACCTCGTCTTCTCTACTAATTGAAACTACCCAATTCAATTTTTTGTAATTTTAAATGAAATAATCAAGTTAAACTTGTTCGAAAATGAACCTCGAATAGCTCATTTAAAATATGTTCATTAAACAAATCAAGCTAACCTTAAAAGAACCAAGCTGGAGCAACTCATTTATTAAGCAACCCCAGCCAAAGCAGATTGTTTATTAAACAAGCACGAGCTTGGACTGGAGACTCGTCTATTAAGCAAGCCAAGCCAAACCAGCTCCATTACTAAACATGCACTAGCTTGAACTGGAGCTACTCAGCTCAGCTCGACTAATACTCCAATACGACTGTGTCCGCTTATAGTTACTCAAAGTACATATATTATCATCACTCAACAATCCGTCACCAACAATTTTTAAGGTGAAAAGCAACACCAAATCATGAGTAATACATTCATGTGCACTACTGACTACAAATTCAACACCAGAAAATCTTGACCACTTTAACCCAAATGGAGTGATAAGCTGTCGAACAAACAGCAATAGAGAGAACATAAAACACATGCACAAACAATATATGAAAGTAACACCAAAATCAACTTAAAAATTTTTAGAGCAAAAAACAAATTCCGGCAGAAAAACTCACACCAACACAGGAGCTGCTGCAAGTATTAATCAGACCAGATATCATATTCCACAACAAAATCCATTCAAATTATCACTTCCAGATTCTGGATCCATCAAATGTGCAAAGAACACAACAAAAAACTAGTAGAGTCTAACACAAATGCTTGAAAATCAAAAGACAATCCAAAATTCAAGAAAAATTCCCACTTAGCCAACAGCTAAGAACCTTAGTAACCACCCTTGAGATCATTGACAACATCATATGGGATTGGAGTCACAGTCTCAATAGTTGCTCCCTCAACCATAAAACCAGGCTTGGGTCCCTCTGGCTGTCTCTTGGTGCTAATAATCTTACCTTGTGCCTTGGCCTCAGCCTTAAGTTTATCATTCTTCTTGATCCTCTCCAGTATCTCCTCGTGGCAGCGTGATGGCTGAACGTGCTCAATGCGAACGTGAATTCTCTTCCTTATGATCCGGTTACCAACCTTCACACAGGTAGAGAAGAGTTAATAGTGTCACATGGAAATTGAAAAGGCCATATTGAAAAGAGAAAGCATTCCATGGTCAAAATTTTCAACAAAAGATGAAAATTCTAACAAAAGGTGCAAAGTGAAATTCAAAGCCAAGAATGAGTTAATAGTAGTGGAGTAAACCACAACAAGTTAGATAAAACAGTATTTGAGCTAAATATTGTGTCAAAGTATGCATTATTCAACATCAACAAATTAAATATAACCAAACTTCGAATATTGATGCCTGTGTAATAAAAGATTGAAAAACATCCAAGGTTGCACCCCAAAAATTACTATTGCATGAAACTATTTCAAGAAATCAAGAGTGCAAATTAGTCTCAGACATCCAAGGAAGGATACAAGCAGCACAAGCTCTCAAGCCCAGCGAAGGCGAAAGCTATCAGGCGGCCACTGCGAATGTTTTGAGAAACAAGCCTTAGGTTTTGTCATCACAGACATAAAATTGGACTGAAATCAAGTTAAACATACCCCAAGATAAAATAAAATAACTGCAAGAGCATAAATAAATTAAGTACTACCTGTAAAGACACCACTTAGGCAACTATTACCCAAACACATAGATTAAAATGTGAGGCAAACCTTTCATCACTACATTCAATCAATTTATGAACCCATTTGAGTCATCAATAGAAATGTTAAAAACCCACATAATCAAGCAGCTTTCACCAAGTATACCAAGGAATTCCACAAATTAGACCATCTTAAGCTCTGATTAAACACACACATGTGTGAGCAAAACACACATTAACCATACATTCGTTCAACATCCACCAAAAACAGCATGATAAATACAGTAAGTCATGACCAAACACACAGGGGAAAATGTGAGGCAAACCTTCCATCACTGCATTCAATCAATTCTGAACCCATTTGGGTCATAAATAGAAATGTAAAACCTTCATACTCAAAGCAACATACACCAAGGAACCCAAGGTGTCCAAAATTAGCCCATCCCAAACTCAAGATCAAACACACGTGAGCAAAAAACACAAATTAAACATACATTCATTCAACACCCACTAAAAACAGCATGATAGGCAGCAATCCACAATCAACATCGCCAAATATAAACAAGTTATTCACAGAACTAAAACTTTGTCTTCATCAGTATCAAATGAAAAAAAAAAACCCTAGAGACACTCGAAAGAAAAAGCCATGGCTACCTGCTTGTTGACCTCAACCCCGATTGCCCGCTTGGTGACGTTCCAAACCCGACCCGTGCGGCCATGGTAGAACTTGTGGGGCATGCCCTTGTGGATCGACCCGTTAACTTTGACATCGACGTAGTCGCCGATCTTGTAGGCCCGGAGATAGGTCGATAAATGGGTCGGACCCTTCTTCCTGAACGGGCGGGCAAACAGATCCCTCGTGCGCGCTCTCAGACCGTGCCCCGCCGGCATTTTTGCTGTGTTTTTGTTCTGTGCAAGTGTTTGGAGTGCGTGTAGATGGCGGAGGTGGTGAAAGGTGAGGAAAAGGGTTTATATAGGGAACGAAATTAGGGCTTTTGAGTAGAGGTGATGAAGATGGATGTTAGGTTTGGGCCTAAATATGGGCTATATTATGCCTCGTTTCATATGAATATGGGCCTTAGAGAGAGGACCTTATATAAGACCCAAAATTTATCTTAAATAAATTAAACGGGCTATTGGATTATCTATAAAGCCCAATGATCCTCCTTTCTTTCTTTCTTCTGCACAGATCATTATTTTTTCCGCCTTGTTCACAACAGTCCGACTCCATAAATTAAAATCTTCTGCACACGCGAACAAAACTTTCATCCACGGCGGCGCAGGCGCAACCCCCGTCAATTGAAGTGGTAATTGAGTTTTTTATGTCTTATGGAATTGTTTCTATAATAAATGAAACCCTAGCTTTTCTTTTCATTTGGTCAATTTATATGCTTTGCTGAGCATGATGATGGATGATTATTTGAAATACATTTGTGAATTTGCGGTTTAAGTTTTCATTTGAAATTGAGTTTGGTTTCTGAACTCGCAGGGCATCCCCAGAAAGATGTTAGCTTGAGAAATTCTCAAATTATTCATATGTTAGCTAATAAACATTATTCTAGGAAGAAATGATAGCATTTTAGTCAGCTAGATGTGCCAAGATGATATTGTACTGAGATTGTTTTTATTTACCCTGCCATATCTTAAGATGAACATATTTTGCTTTCTCATTTGAATTCTTTTAACTTTTATAACTGTTTTGTTGTTTGGTTAATTAGTATATATTTGTTTACTATCTACAATATCGTTCTTGCTTGTAGTCATGTACATTGTGTTAACGCAATTAATTTTCAGAAAATTATGAGGAGCAAAGAGTTGAACTACCTAATATTTAATGGATACAACCTCAACTTCAGCGAACACAATAGATCTATGAAAGAACTCACTATTAGTGATTCTGTGAATTTAAAATTTGTACGTTTTTATTTATTTATACTTTGGCTTTGATTATAAAATTTTTTGGCATAGAAAAATCATATGACAAACCCTTATTGTCGCTGCCATCATGCATGCATTGCTGCAGGGAAAGATCCGTCGGTGGTTGTGGTTTCAATTGTTGATAACTCTTCATTTTTTATTTTCAATTTTCAATTTTTGGGGTTAATTTTTTCCTAATATTATTCCAGATTATTGGCCACTGCAGAAAGTCAGAGCATCTCCATTGCTTGTTCATCCGCCCAGATCTGAATAATTTCAGTTCGACTCCATAGGTAATTACATAACATGTTGATGATATTTAATTGATTTATTATTATTTTTTTTTTTCCAAATTTTATGTTGTGTTTGATTTCTATTAGCTTAATGTTTTCTGGCTTGTGCCATGGGACTGTTAGTTGGTTTTTTTTCCTTTTGTTTTTTGTATAGGTCATATTACTAGAATTCTGGTAATGCTGGTGTGGGAGTTTTGTTTTGTTAACTTCTATGTTTTGTTAAGGCAAGATTAGTTTGCTAAGGAATGAATAACCTTTCACTTTTTTTGTATATGTTGACCATTTGTATTATATACAAGGTCTAGGGTCAAAATAGGAGACACGTCCACTATGTTTCAATATAAGGCTTCTTTCTCAAGGTTTCAAGTCAAAATAATTGCTGTTACTAATTATTTTACTGTCACAACACTCTTTGATTTGACCTAAAATAGGTTACCCTACTACATTCAGGTGTTATGTTTGGCCTATTCAGTAAGGAAGATTTGTTGCAACAAAAATATGATTCGACTATTATTATGGCATTTTCCCTCCTGCTTTTCTATAGGATGTATAATATATGAAGACTCTGGGAAAGATGTATACATGCCTTTAATTGCTCTATGAAGAATGAAGATGTACAAATATAGATCCATATTTACAAGTACTAACAGTAAAAACTGATATGAGATGAGAAAAACTGCAGGACACTTAAATAACACAAGCCACAGACACTTAAACTGATATCAAGTAGTAACCTACAAAATATATATATATATATATGTATATCAAAATATTAACCAGAATATTTGTATTTTTATTTTTTAATTTATTTAATTAATTATATATAGAAGTTTTATATGCACCAATTATTTATGAAGGTTATATGACAATCATTATTTAATTGAGACGTAGTCCAAACTCATATAGTTTACTCAATTTGCGACACTTTCGTATTAGGGATCTAAATCCATCTACAATCTCATGGCTCCAGCCGCTCCAAAATCCGGCGATGCGATTTTTGCCAGTGTTGATCGTGTGGTAAGTTATTATGCAATCGAGAAAGAGAAATTATATTATGTTTACTTACCCTTTGATCCGAAATGTTTATCATTCTATTTAATCGATTGATGTTATCAATCGTGTGTTTTGGCTTTAATCATGTTTTATGTGGCTATATACGTTCTCAGAACTCGGAGCTGTTTACTCTCACATATGGCGCTATCGTGCGCCAGCTGCTAACCGATCTGGAGGAGGTGGAGGAGGTCAATAAGCAGCTCGATCAAATGTGATTGTTTTTCACTCTCTGTGTCTTTATTAATGATGAGCTTCTTCTTTCTTTCTTAACTTTTTCAGAGTAACTGTGATTTTTCATGGCAGTGGTTACAATATCGGGGTCAGGCTAGTTGATGAGTTCCTAGCAAAGTCTAATATGTCGAGGTGTGTTGACTTCAGGGAAACAGCTGAAGTAATTGCAAAGGTCTTTTTTTTTTATCCTTTATCCTCAGTTCTGATATCTCATTGTTATTGAATTGGTGGAAAATAAATTCTCCGTTAATTATGATTAAAAACCGTGTTCCGTGTTTTGATTACTCGTTTGCGTATTGATTTTATGCTGTAGCTTAACTATTATAATTTACATGAATGAATAGGTTGGTTTCAAGATGTTCTTAGGAGTCACTGCATCTGTAACTAACTGGGACTCAGAAGGGACAACTTGCAGTTTAATTTTGGAGGATAATCCTTTAGTGGAATTTGTTGAGCTTCCTGATACTTGTCAAGGTCTTCGCTATTGCAACATTTTGAGTGGTGTTGTCAAAGGAGCTCTTGATATGGTGAGCATTTTCCCCTCCATAAATATCAAATTCTTTCGTGAAATATGTTTCTCTCCAATTTAATTTCCAGCACTCTTTTTTTTTTTTTTTGTTGAAAAAAAAAAGAAAAATCTATTTTTATTTTTTTTTCTAAAATATGACAGGGAGGGTATTTCTGTTTTTCAGCGTATTGTTACGAGTTCTGTTTCTATGATATTCTTAGTAGATGTGGAGCTTTTATACACCTTGAGAACTGCGGATGTGAAAAATCCAACAAACTCATTTAACCTGATTGTATTAGTAACTAGCCAAAATAAAAAATCTCTATCATATCAGTTTTACATGAAACATACAAATCTAGAGCTATATCAGTATGAATATCAGAATATGATGTTACTGCTTGTTAAAAACTGAAAATATTTTTTATTTTTATTTATTTATTTATTTTTTGTAAGCTTAGAGCCTTAGACCCAAATCATTAAAAGATGTTCCCTATTAAGATTATCTGTGCCATTAGGCTTTGATGAAACGAATTTAGAAAAGAACAAGAAAAAATCTCAGTAGGTTTTAACGACTTAAACTTACTCTTCATTCCCTTATATAAGGTGTCGATGAAAACTGAGGTCACATGGCTCCGTGACATGCTTAGAGGGGATGATGTATTCGAGTTGCAGGTCAAACTTCTCAAACAAATCTCTGAGGAGTATCCATATAAAGATGATGAGTAACTTTCTTTCTTTGATATCTGAGTACCTATAATCTGGATTTCATGTAATTTTTTCTGTTTCATATTGGATCTTTTGTTCCTTTTTTCTGGTTTGTTTAGTCGTGAGCATTGGTAATGGCCAATTATTTGACACGANTCTAACTCATGAAAAGGGAAACGGAAAGTAATGAAGGGAAGATAATGAGGAAGTATTGATAAATTTCTGGATACATGTGTCTGATTACATGTCTGGATAAATTTCAAAATATTGATAATTCTGATATCACCCTTCATGGACACATTGAAATTGAATCGTGATGTAGCTTACTTTTTTAAGTTATTATCTGCTGTTCGACTAACATTTGCTTGATCAAATGCTGTAGAAAATAGGAAATCAAGGTAGTGAAAGTTCAGAATATGTTGACTCTTAGGATGACTTTCAAAATAATTATGTTGACTGGAATGTATCTCATTATATGTCCCGCGGAATACGTTTTATTCACTAGTTTTGCACAACTAGTTATCACTAGTTTTGATCTGCTTGTCCTCTTTGATGCAGAGACCCATCAACCAAGTAAATTTACTATAAAACCCTTGTCTATATTTCTTTCAAAATGGGGTTAAATCAACAAGGTAGACTTAAGTCCTTACTGCACAAGATTATTTTTTTCTCTATGGCTAACACCAAATATCATTTTAGTTTAGCGTTTTACGTCACATCAATTTTGAAATTATAAACGTACATCAATTTTAAAGTCACCGATTTATACACATTGCATCAACTTTAAAATTGTAAACATACATCAATTTTAAAGTCATAATTCCCATACTTATGCATCATTTGTATTGTTCGTTATATAAAAAGTATCTCAAAATAGCATTACTACAGAAAAGAAAAAAAAAAAAAAAAAACCATTAGAGGTGCTCTTAAATTGTCCAACTTATCATAGATAGGTTCACAACTTCTAAGTACATCGTAAAAACATGAGTTGCTTTAAGATTGGATTGAAAAGTCATAATTTGTGTTTATGCAAAATCTATTTCCCTCTTCACATTGGTGGACCACAAAGTCCAGGTCTCCGATAATATCTTCTTCCACGGTATTGTTTTCATAGTCTTCCACCAGCCTAGATCCGTTAGATTTATCATATATTATTTATTTTTTTTATTGTGTATAATAATATAATTTAAACTATGTTTCATGTTATTTCTAATTAAAATTCATATTTAAAAATAAACCACCATATATATAATATCATTCATATATATGATAGCACCATATTCTACTTAACATTTCATCATATACCGTCAAAAATAGTATTATATACAGTTTTCAAAACAAAACTTATTTTTTGTTAGAACATCATCTTATAATTAGAGTGTTATTCGAGTCGACTTAAGTCGAGTGCTTTGAACTTGTGCTTGTTAATAAACAAGTCTAACTCGGCTCATGGCAAACCCAAATCATAAATGAGTTGCTCTTGAATTTGTGTGTTCACGAACATTTTTGGTTCTATTGCTTATTCAAACATGTATGATTTTCACTTAAACATAGAATAATTTTTGGTAAGGTTTTGAATTTTAACTTGAATTTATATCAATGCACGCAATATTGAAAATTGGGGGCACCAATTGTGGACTACAAAATATTTTAAGATATAAAAATATTTAAGAAATCGTGGCTGCGACTTTATGGTCATAAAACAAAGCGGATAAAATACAGTTTGAGCATATTAAGATACCAAATCTATTAGGTATTTTTGTTTTTCACTTCTAAGTACATTGTGCAATTATGAATTGAACTATATGAGGTTTATAGCTACTATTCAATAGAGTACTCCTAAGATAAGGTTAGGTTACTGATAATAAGGGTTTCGATTTTTTTTATTTTTTATTTTTTTCTGCCTCATAATGGTGACATCAAAGTCATGGTCAAAGTTTGGGGAAGAATTTAATTATCGATATTGACATGCGGCCGAGTCGGGTCATATTATTTCTGATCAATTAAACTTCCAGCGAAGTGTGATATATGAAGTGATCTAAAGAAAAAATAAATAGTGNAAAGGGGGAGGATTATTATAAATAAAAAGAAGAGAATAGATCTAAAATTTATGAAATTCATCTTTCATCATTAGTATTCCAATAATAAAATGTCTCTTGCATCACTACATGAATAGTCATTATTAGCGACACTAATTTTAGTGACGACATTAATGTCATGACTATAAAATGATTATTGTGACGACATTCAAACATATAGCGACATTATTAGCGACGGTATTTTTTGTGAAGACATTTGAACATACAGCGATAAAAATTTTTGCCACTAAAAACGATTATTCCTGTAGTGCATGCTAAATAATAGCTAAAAAACTGATGATTATATTAAATATTTAAAACTACATTTAATTGCTAACTATTATGACTATTATTCAATGACAGGGATATATAATCATGTGAGATACTGTATGTAAACTTATACAAAAACTGTTCGCCACTCCACTTGGGTAAATAATTGATTAGACGAGTTAATATTGGCTGATAATAACATTTTTTGATAAAAAAAGTTAGAAAATAAAATAATCATATTCTTAAAATAATTATTTATTTAATTAGAAGTATCACAAAACTGTGAAAATATGCATGAACAACCCCACAAGGAGTTATTGAACTTCTTGTTCTGCAATATGCAAGCAATCCGCAAATAAAAATGTTCACACCCATTGATTAGTCTCTGCTTACCGGTCACTAAGATCAATTGATGAAACAAGTAATTAATTTAAAATTTTTAAATTAATATATACATAAAAAGAAATTCATGTAAATTTAATACCTCAAAATCTTAATAACACATGTCATCATATCTGTTTACCTATATATAGATACATAATTTTTATTTTTTAAATAAGAATATATTTTATAAAAATATCTAGACCAGGTCAACTGGTTTGACCTGGCGAGTTACTACTCGAGTTATAAAATTTATTTTGACGAGTATTTCTTAGAACTAATTGTAATTGCAGCCAAGATCCCCAAGTGTTTAAATATTAGACCAGAAATAATTTTAATCAATGAGGTATATTTGGACATGGCTGCTAGTTAAGTTAGTTATTGCAAAACGTCTTGCACAACAGACCAAAAAAACAACCACTATAATAATTCAAAGAGACTTTTCAAAGATATTGATAAAAATGTTAAGCCCGTAACAAATTAAACCATACATGTGTAACAGCTAATTCCTTCAAATTTTTCTTCCACTAATTAATTTGTTTGCTTGTTCCAAGTTTCCACAGAGAGAGATTCAAATTTGGCAGGAGAACAAATTTGATTAGCAGCCATAAATCAATCAAGCTGAAATTACAATCAGTGCCCCTTGTGCACAACCACTATAAAAATGGCATCAATTGTGACACAAATATGCTTCATAGCAACAAAATTTCTTTAAGGTTATAATCATGGCTATCTCAAAGAATCAGTTCATCCCTGCCATTGCTCTTTGTGCCCTTCTTGTGATGACCAGCCTGGATTTCACAGGTTTGAATTTGCACGTAAAATAAGCCGTTATAAAAAAATTTCATGTTCTCTAGCATTCTCTAGCGTTCAAATTGATTATTACGTTAATGTACACTTGTTGCGTCGCAGTTTCCCAAACAGGCATTTGCTACGGAAGGCTCGGCAACAACCTGCCCAACCCATCGGAAGTCGTGGCTCTATTGAACCAAAACAATATCCGACGAGTGAGAATTTACGACCCGCATGGTCCCACACTGCAGGCCTTAAGTGGGACCAACATTGAGGTCATCCTCGGTGTCCCCAATACCGACCTCCAAAACGTGGCTGCCAGCCAGGCAAATGCCGACACATGGGTCCGCAACAACGTTCGGAACTATCCCAACGTCCGGTTCAGGTTCGTTGGCGAACCGGGAAAAAAAATCCTTTTATGTTAATATATTGCTAAAGAAAGAATATAATAATTATTGAAAGTCAAATTTCAATTGTGATTAAAAAAGTGTGACAACTCGACTTCCATTAATGTGAGATTGTGAGGTCATTTTTACCAATCTTAATTCATTTTTGTACTTTCTAGCTTTTGGTTTGGCTTTAAAGTTTGTAGTTCCCCCTTTTGGAGCTCCAAGACTTCCTTTTTAATGTTTTTCAATTCAATTCTCCGTCAAGACCACTACTTTTTAACTTATTTATACGGTAAAATCAATTGGAAGCTCAAAAGTTCAATACTTCGTCAATTGCTCGTTTTTACTTTATAAAGATATTCTCGGTAAGAAAAATGTTATATAGTCAACCTAGTGTACAACTAGCTAGGTTGACAACACAAGTGAAAACATTCACTTGTGTATTTTTTTTTATTTTTTACTTGTGTTGTCAACCTAGTTGTACACTAGATTGACAATGTAGCATTAATGACATTTTTCTCGTGGAAATAATATTATGATCAATTTGGTCTAACTCGACTTAACCTGACTGTAAGACTGTCTCACACTCACACGAACGCGACTTTACGTAATTCCGATTTTTTTTTCCTTTTCGTCTTAGGTACATCGCGGTCGGGAACGAGGTGAGCCCTGTGAGGGGCGACACGTCCCGGTTCGCCCCCTTCGTCCTCCCCGCCCTCCGAAACATCCAGACCGCGGTCAACTCGGCCGGTCTCGGAGGCCGCGTCCGTGTCTCGACCGCGGTCGAGACGGGCCTCATCGGCGTGAGCTACCCGCCGGCCGACGGCGCCTTCCGTCCCGACGTCGCCTCGTACATCAACCCCATCGTCCGCCACCTCGTCGACAACCGGGCCCCGCTCCTCGCCAACATCTACCCCTACTTCTCCTACATCGGGAACCGCGCGCAGATCGACCTCCGCTACGCGCTCTTCACGTCCCCCGACGGCGTCGTGGCCGGCGGCGTCCGGTACCAAAACCTGTTCTACGCCATACTCGACTCGCTCTACGCGGCGCTCGAGAGGAGCGGCGGCTCGTCGCTGGAGGTCGTGGTGGCGGAGAGCGGATGGCCGTCGGCCGGAGGGGACACGACCACCGTCGAGTACGCGAGGACGTATAATACGAACTTGGTGCAGCGCGCGAGGAACGGGACACCGAGGAGGCCCGGGAGGGCGATCGAGACTTACGTTTTCGCACTTTTCGATGAGAATCAGAAGAACCCCGAGTACGAGAGGCATTTCGGGGTGTTCCTGCCTAATAGGCAGGCAAAGTATCAAATCAGCTTTGCCTAGTTAAGTTTGTGTTTGTGTGTGTGTGTGTGTATCCATGTATTGGAATTGTAATAAGGATTGAGATATCCATATATAGCCTGCTTATTGTGGTTGATGAAGAAGCTTTTGTTGGCTGGGTTGTGTGATTGTTTGTGGTTGTAATAATTGAATAATTGAATATTTTAAAAGAAATATATTTTTATTAGAGATAATATGGTAAAATGTTTAATGCATGGGGAGCAATATTAGTATAGGTAAAGTGATAAAAATTTAGGTAAAAATCAATAGGTAATATAAGTATCATATTTCAATTTATTTAATTTTGCTTTTGAATCAATAGTTTTGAATTAAGAAGTCACATACAAAATTTGCTTAATCTTCATATTCGTACAACCATAAATATAATACAACACTCGTGTATTACACGGGTCTTGAATTAAGAATCATATATCAAAATATTAAATCTTTTATTTTAATTTTTTTAAAAAAAGAACTAAAATAATTTTTGTTTTAATTAAATTGTGAAACTATATTTTTCTAATCTTAATAGTTAAACATCTGCATATAATTTTGATGTCAATTATATTTTTTAAAATTTATATAAAATTTTAGAATTTGCATAGTTATAAATTATATATTTTTGATAGATCGACAACATACCAATTAAATTTTAAACTATCTTTTTTAAAAGAATAATATCATATTATTCATCTTCGAAATGAGAAATATGCATGTGAATATTGGAAGATTGAGAAATAAATTAATATGATTGATTTAAATGAAAATATGTAATAGAAGGAAAATATTTAGTATATTCCAAAAATAACCATGTCTAATTGACATTTGACATGGCACAGGGCCTAATTATATATCAGTCCATAAAAATATGACAAATAGGATCGAATCATGTGAGTCTACCACTTAAACTCATCACATTTGAGAATCATATATAGATTAATTGTAATTCCATTGCATAAAATTTAAAATGAGTGGGGGTTTTAAGATTCAAATAAAAACAAGCTCAGGTGTGAGAAGCGCGAGAACAGAAATACAAAATATAATACAATTTTCAATTTAGTATTATACTATTTTCATATCTTATGAATGATATATTATCTTTATTAATGTAAAGTTGTTTTTAAAAAATAATCTTATCAACTATCAGCTAGCTTATCTGCTAATTTTACCTAATAAATTACAAGTTAATTTATTTGTTTACTAAACACAGCCGAAATACTTTAACTTGTCAAATTTAATAGTAAAAATTTGGTCTGAAACTTTTTTACAGAACTTTAGGTAAGAAATTAAATTAAAATATCTATTAGTATTTTGAATTTTCTCATGTATACCAATTGAGTCTCCAGCTACATTTACCTTCTGAATAAGGTCACATTTAATAGAAATAATACCACGTCAAACTCAGAACCGATGGCCCGACCCACACGGTAAGGTCGTACTTTTTGTCCCTACTCCCTAGAGCTAATAAAATTGGATGGCTTCAATTGGTTGTAGAATAACAACAACGACAACATTTTTTGTTGAGTCAAGATTTATCACATTCTAATTATTAATAAAATTTAAAAAAAAAATCATATAAAAATACTAGTC